CCCATTCAAACAGATCTTCCCATTAAAAAAAAATATTCCCATTTAAATAAATCTTTCCATTTAAACAAATCTTCCCAATCAAATAAATCTTCCTATCATGTACATATCTTGTAATATTAAAAAAAGGGGTTTTCACTGAATAAACTTAAATGATAGGTTTTAGGATGAAATTAATAGGAAATTGGTGAAGAGACATACTAAATAAATTTTCAAAACATATAATGTAAAACTTAAATTCAAAAACAATATGATTTTAATGAACGATTTATCTTCTATTTTATTTTAATAATTAGTAATTATTTATTATTTAAATTTAGTGAGATGTTTGTGCTCGATGCTGGCTGTTAGGTTCCCATTTATTTAACTTCTGTTTCAGGTCTCAGATCCAGCTGATTTCTTTTTTTAAGCAAATCATTTATTGATCCAAATTCACATTCAGCTAAATATGAAGATGGAAACGGTAACAATAGTTTTCTTGAACGTTTGGTTGAATTTGAATATTTGATTTCTGTTTCCTCACAAAAGCCATGCCATTGCTCCATCTCTATTAAATAAAGTTTGAACTGACTCATCATTCAGAATCTCTGCGAGTTCTTCTTGGTACCGGCTGGCCTACAGCGTGTTTGAAACATCAGACAAATCCACTAACATTACCTGCATCCTTCAAGTTCAAAAATAAATGTTTCCAAAAGAAAATCATTTAAATCAGCCGATAGAAGATAGAATTTTCAGATGATCGTCAGTAACGAGTATAGCGGTATCAGTGATTTCACATTTTCGGTGCCAATGAAACTTTTCAAAATTTTTGTTGTAAATATTTTTCGGAGAAAAATCAAAAAAAGGTAATGAAAGCCAAATATCTTCGCGTTTGCATCAAGAGTTTTATTTGTTCCTTGAAATTTGTTATTTCAAATTGCAATTTAGTTTTTCAAAGATATAGGCTAAATAACTCACAAATGCTTTGCCCTAGACTGAAAACAGATACTTCATATCAGGTTTGTCACTTTAAAACATCGCAAGAATATCAAAGGGTTCCATAAATATTTTAAAGCAATTCCCCTTCGAGAGACATCTTAGTTCAGCATGAAGTAAACATGTCTTACATGGTCTGCATTTTGTTCTTTACAAAATAACGTGAAGAGACGTTCACATTTGGCATTAGATTTAATAGCATGGATACACTTTATAACTGAATTTAGTGCCAACTGAGACTATTGACTACTTTTAAAAATCGACGGATTTTCACAATAACTTTTTAAAATAATTATTTAAAATTGAGATGTCAACGATTCTCCTTTTGACATACAAGTTAAGTCACAGCAGACTTGGTTTTTCAAGTTCTAGACGGCTCATTTTCGAATTGCCCCCGCTTGCGAGTCGTGGGCCCCACTTTGGGAAACACTGTGTTTGACCATACTTAAACTTTGTCGTTTCCATCAACTAAATTTTCTGTAAACTTATTAAAGGGGTATTCTGAAGAAAGACATTTGCCCTGAGGTCTTAATCTCTTGATGCAGTGGTTCTCAACTTCCTTCACAGGCTTCGGCTAAGGGCATCGGATAACACAAACTCTACAGTTGTGAAGCATCAAAGAAAATAATTTAGTGGTTGGGGCTCGCCACAACACGATGAACTGTATAAAAGGGTCGCAGCATTAGGAAGGTTGAGAACCCCAGTCGTGATGGATGGTTACAACAAACAATTCCTTTCCTCTCAGGGATAGGGAACGAGACACACAAGACAGGAAATCTAGGAGAGTAACACCAGAACATATATTTAATAATAATGAAAAAGACGAGTAGATAACTTCAATTTAGATTAGACAGCTTATTCAAACTTCTTATTACCACAAACCCTGCACTCTCCCCACTCCCCCCTTGACACATTACAATAACAACAGCACATGTATAAATGAATAAAACATTTTGTTATCGTCCAACAATAACTATGCTCACAAAAAAAAATTAATTTGTACATTGTAGAGGGTAAATATAACTACGTTAAATTAAGTTATTGATAACTTGTATTCTCCAAGCATCAACTAAAATTGAGACTTGGGCTACATTCACAAACAAAGCTTGCACATTTAAAAAATTGCAAAATGTTGTTAAAGAAAAATAATAAATCAATGAAAAATGGAAAGATGATACAGTTGACCACAGAAGAGGTTGATATTGATTTACTATTTCATGAACAAGTACAACTTAATGCTATTGTTACAAATCAACATAATACTATTGATAACAATCAACTTAATACCATTTGGTACCCACACTATAGGGAAAAAAATGATATCGGGATTATCAATGGAAAAAACAATGCACTGAATAGTCAATTAAACATAATAAATTAATCTAAATCTAAAGTGACAAAAACATTATTTTCAACTGGGCGTCGCTTTTCAGTTGACACTGAGGTATGCAGAACTAAATAAAAATCAATAATTTTTCTTTGTTTAAAACAGATCAATGTGCATAATGAGAAAAAAAAGGCAATGTGTCTTGATAAAAGGATGTCTTGGCAAAATTAAAGCTAGCGAGTTGGACAACTCAACAACTCAGTCTTTCTGTTGTTGCTCTTTATAAAAAAATGATCCATTTTTTTTTCTAAACTAAAGTAAAACAACATAATTAATTACCAAACAAATGTATTTAAGGATTTGAACGAAAAAAACTTAAATTATCATTAAAAAGAATTAACACCCATTTCAAGGACAACTCTTCTGGTTTTTCGGTCAATCTCATCTGTAATCAAAGTACCTAACTAGGAGACTCTTAACTCTTTGGCTGCGGAATTTTGACATACAAAAAGAGATTATTGATGTAAATAAAAAGAAATGACTTTTGATTACAATTTGCATATTCATTTTGATTGTATGGATCATCATTCTCTTTGAATAAACATTTTTTTAAACTGACATTCCTAAACTAAAATAAATACATAGCTATACATTGACACAGAAAACATCTTACAATAAATCAAGTAATGTACTCATCGTGTAGTCCGCATATAATGTGTATGCAAAATTGATTCTTTTTTTGTGCAGATCTGAGTTGCATCATGGACATTTTAAATTAAAAAAACAAAACAGAAAGTTATGATATTTTCAATGTTAGAGTAAAAGTGCAAAGTTATGGTTTATAGATGGCAAAACTTGAGGAAAAAAATGGAATATAAAACACTGATCAAAATTTTTTTTTTTTTTTTAAATATTCAGTTGATAGAACTTTGTTAAATCTCAGCTTGTAACGATTCTTTTGTTGCCCTTTCTCCCAGGCCTGTCAGTGCAAACATTATAACCTTTCACCTTGGTGTGTAAAGAATACACTGATGCCTCCTAAAGAGTTAAGGGTGCAGTCCAACTTGCTTTGAAAATGATCTCAGAAGTGCCAATAATCTACAGTTTTCATACAACGAGAAGCCAAACTCTTTGAGATATGCCTGCAGTATGACGGGGCTTGCATGAAGACAATGAACCAGTTCAACCATGCAAGGCCCATCCATCTCTGAAAATCTGGAGACAAAAAAAAAATAAATTTGAAGTTAAGGAATTATGTCATATAACTTTTTTTAGACACAGACAAGTCCTTTGTTTGAGCACCTAGGGAGTAGGATCACAACAGATATTTAATGTGATGAAGAAAATCAAGGAAAAGATTAGCAAAGCAAATCTGGGAACTGGGGATGCTGACACCCTTATGAAGATCAAGCCACCTGAGCATCCACACAGAGGACAGCTTGCCTGCTTGCAGGACACGATTCAGCCCACTTCCCAGGACAGCACTAAGATGGGAAGCCCAGGTAAAATGATACCACCAATGACCCAAGGAAAGCCTAGCACTAAAGAAGGATTTATGGGATAGAAATCTACCCAACACAAAGCTCTAGAGAAACAGCAAAGAGGAAGGAACAGTGGCCTATTGCTAATGCCTTAAATTACCAGTCAAAGTACGAGAACTGAATGAAAAAAAGCCTCTTTTTCTTCTTCTTCTGTATAATTCAGTATCATCTCATATACATAAGTATAAGATATGTTGTATAAAAAAATGTACAAGTTAAAAATCCTTCAAGTAAATTATGAAATTAGAAATATATTTTTTTTCAAGACATGCTTAATGTTGCTTAATTCAGAAATGGTCTCTTGTACCATTTTTGCATAAAATGAACAATTTTATGTCTTTTACTTTTGTATGACTAGACCAGTAAAAAATATGATTTGAAAAGACTGGGTAAAAACAAAAAATAATTTATGATTATTATTTACTTTTCCGTTTTCAGCTCTGTTAGTAACATCTGGCAATGAATGGGCCAAGAACTAGTATTGTAATTTTTTGACTGTCCAATCAACCAAAGCATTGGCAGACACATCCTGCAATTTTACTTCTATTTAACATCAGTATTCATTCACTTTTGATGCTGCAACCAAGTTCAGTTAACTATCTTGGATAAAAAGCAGTTCCTTCTGGTGGTCACCATTAAAGGAGAGGAATGCATCGCCTACTCGCTTCTCTTTGCTTAAAGTTACTTGGAACTCACCAGATGGAATCACTCCAAATTGACCGTGGCATGGATCAGACATACTAGACATAGGAAGCTATCAAGTAACAGATGCAGACTCTGAACATTTACTTCTGAGGGTTAAGTATAAGAATAAGCATGATACACAAGAGCCGAAATCAAAGAGAAAAACTATATGATTACCAAAAACTTGGGGAAGAACCACTAAGAGCAAAAGCTTACCAAAATGATGTAGCAGCACAACTAGAAGCATTACAGGAGGAAATAATCAGGGAAAACAACAGAGCTCTCAGCCACAGGACAGAATGTTTTTAAGACCATGCCAAATGAATTAAGACACAGGATATTTCATGATGCATTTGGCTGTTAAAATCAATAACAATTTTGTCCTACCCACCACAAATTTAAAGTGAAAGTAAATAAAATTAAAAATATACTAAAACTATTGTTAAGTACTAATCTCAAAAAAGCTGATGCTTCACTTACTGCGATGCATATCTCCCCAGCCTGTGAAAATTAAGCCACCGCGCCACATCTGACTTTGTCCATTGATAAAGCGGGGAGTCAAAGGAGTTAGTCGAGGTAACGCTGTTTTCATCTGCATCACTAGAAACCTTGTCACTTTCGGAAACTAAAATAAAAGTTTTAATGTCATTGGGAGCACAGAAGGTGAGATATAGGACAATGTGTAACAAAAAAATCTTCAGTTTTCAGACAATGAGAAGCCAAACTCTTTGAGATATGCCTGCAGTATGACGGGGCTTGCATGAAGACAAAAATCGTACATGTGTGAGCATATAAGTAAACACCATGTTTAATCCCCTTAAAATGATTTTAATTTTTTTTTACCAAAAATTTCCCCATTTCCCAAGTATTGGAGTCTGTGGCACATGTCTGTTTGTCTCTAGTTGTGAACAGCACCAGACAAATTTGTCCTGGAATTTGTAATAAACCCACTAAAGTCATTGCCATTGTGAAAGTCAATGGCAGCATCTACTTTTAGTCTTGGCAAATGAAATATTGGTGCAGATACCTAAATTTAAACCTAAAAATTTTTTGAAGCTGTTGGTTCATAACAATGTCAACCTGCAAAGCCTTATACTATAAGCCTTATACCAGGCCTTCACCAAGTGGGTCTCAGTCAGTTAACCAACCATCTGTTTCAAGAGAAGATTGAACAGCTAAGATCGTCACAAAATTTTAAAAAAAATAAAATTAATTGGACATACCATGGGGCAATGTAGTAAAATTCTGCTTTTGTCTGTCTCACTCAGAAGTTTAAGAAGCACTGCTTCACAACATTAACTAAATAGGATATTTCAATTCTATTATGAATTATTAAGTTGAAAACCAACCTGTTGAATGGGATCCTGCAACTCTGGCCAAACTGACTTGTTGGAGGTCAGATGTCCTTAGAACAGGCTGAGAACCTTCCGCCACAAGACTGCTTTCTCCTGTATTCTTTTCAGGGCACCTGATGTCTGCGAGCGTGATAGGAGTGCTATTTACTGTACTGGGAATAAGCTGAGAATCATCTGTGATAGAAGGTAAGACTACTTCACCAGCACGAGCAGACTGAGACATTTCAGCTGCGGCTGGGTTGGTGAAATTAGATGGGAATGGCTTGGTCATTTTTGTCAATTTTTGTAAACGTGTGCTTTTTTTCAAAGTAAAAGGTTGAAACTTATCAGCCGACTGAGTGGTGATTGGCGACCTCAGAGTTTGAGTTGTTTCAGTAGACTGTGGTACAATGAGAGGGTTCAGAGTTTGTGTTGTTTCGGTAGACTGTGGTAAAGTTGGCGAGTTCAGAGTTTGTTCAGTTTCAGTAGCTGCCTTTGATGTCTTTGAACATTCTATACTTTGCATTGGTCTAGTGGTTGCCTGAGGTTTAATTGCTGAGTTCAGAACTTGCAAAGTTTTAGTAACCGGCTGAAGAGTGATGGAAGTATTCAGGCTTTCTTCAGATGTTTCAGGGTGTTTATCACAAGCTGGAGTCACTTCACAAGAAAATGAGCTGGCAGTGCTTGATTCAGCCGGGTGGGGCAACAAATGTTTTTCAGGATCAAAGTGCACAGCTTTGTCCGCTGATGCGTGTATGGTCACTTCAACTGTTTTCAGATGACATTTATCTTTGAGTGATACTGTGCGTGTTTGAAGTGTGCGAGGATCTGAAACAGAAGAAATGTCTCTAGTAAAAACAGGTACAGTTGTAACTGTGCTATTGATAGCATTCGACGAACCTGTTGAAACCACCTCTTCTACCCCACAGTGTGCACTGGCGGCTGCATCATGTGTCAAGATAGCTGTTCCTGGCATAAAACTTATTGTTAAATCTGTTTTGGAATTTCCTGAAGCTGCTGACAGTTCATTACCAGATCCTAAATCTGAGAATGTATTGCATGTAAAAGTGCCTCTATGGTCTCTTGGTGATTTTCTCTTATCCACACCAGTATCACTGGAAGAAGATTCAGGTTTTGATTGAATTCTCTCACCCACATCCATGTCACTGGACAAAGATTCTGTATTTAACTTTCTCTTACCCCCTGCAGAATGTTTCTTTGGCGGAAACTCAGTGGGCTCAAAGTGTAGAGTTCCTTCTTTTTTCGTCACCCTAAAGGCACACCTGCGTGGTAGTGGTTGATACGTTCTTGTCTGCTTTAGGTGAATCAGAAGCACAATCTGGGATGCATTTCTGTCAAAAAGCTGTAGAATACCCTTCTTAATAATATCTGAGTAATTAATTTTCCCAGATGGAGTGACATGTATTAATTCAGGAGGAGGTGTAATGACAACTGTTCTGGCTGTGTTACTCTGTTGGCAGGACACTGAGGTGGTCACTGTTCCTAGGGTGTCACTTCGTTGGCAAGTGAAGGAGGTAGTGCTTTGAGAATCTTTCTCCTTGAAAGAAATGGCTTGATGGATCTCAGACATTTCTAAATCACCCATCGTTGATTTAATTTTTGTCTGCATCAAAGCAGTTGCCTCCCTTCTGGAATGAGATGCATTGATCTTGGCTATTTTCTGTTCCATCAAAAAGTTTACATTTTCTAAACTGTAATGGAGTAATGCACTAGTACATGGCTTCAGAACAGATGGACCACTGGGTGACAACGGCACATATTTTGAAGAGTTTTGATCAATCATCCACTTTTGTTTTGCAACACATGAAGTTTCAGCATTGCACGAGTCAAGAGGTGGTAATGGTGAGGATACCACTGGATCTTTGGACTGGACAAATGGTTTTCTTAAAGAGCGTTTAGCTTGTGTATTTTGCCTTTGAAGCTTTTGTATCTCCCTGTCGGAGCTGCGCCTAATTTTCTTTGCCTTTTTTTGCACCTGTTCTGCATGCTTTCTAGTTCTCTTCCTTCTTTTAGCTTTGGTTTCCACACTGCCCGATTCATTGACGACTGGGAGGCTACTTAAACTTACATCGGACATCAAATTAAATTGTCCAGCATGACTGACTTTAGACTCTTGGCTATTTGTAGAAGTAGCCAGGCAAACTTTTGGGATGGATGGGATTGGATTAATTTGTTCATCATTACCTGAATATTTTAATTTCTTTCTGCGCACCCTGCATGCATGCTGGTCAGACTTGGCAGCAGTGGTGACAAAATCAAGGGCATCTCCCTTACATGGCTGATTTCTTTTTAAAATTACATTACCGCTTCCACAGGCACTGAAATCTAAAAAGAAAATTGAAAGTTACATACACTTAAAAATTTGTGGTCCATTCAAATTCACTTAAAATTGGATTACCCTGATTATTGTTATGTTGCTTGTTAGTCTAGGGTTATTTCTGGTAACAAGTTATTCTCTTTTTTTCAACAGTGTGATGAAGAAGTGATGATGTTTCATAATTCAAATGTTTATTTACACTATGGTTTAACTCTATACCACAAGGTATAGGCCTACTTATGTCTAGGCTCTGTATATAAGACAGCATAGGTATGTTTACTATCGAAGTGACTTCACTAAAAAGGTTTTTCCTGGTTGCATTCAAAAATCCACATCACACCTTTCTAAGGTTGGCACCCAATCAAAAATTATTTTCTGAATACATATGATGACATATGGAGCACACACAAACTTGTTTCCTCCCACTCCACTCTCAGCCAATGAGACTTACTGATGTATGAGCCGAAATAACTGGCCAGTGTAGTTTAACAGAACTCGCTCTCTTTAATTAAATTAACAGAATTAGAACAACAAAAAAAACAGCTGAAAGACTTTCTCTCAAAGTATTTCAGTGGTTCAAATCTCTAGACAGGTACTTGATCTCATTTCTGGTTAGACTTTGGCTGGGGTCTTTTAATAAAACTGTGGGAACTTTGCCCAATTTATCTTCATCACATAAGACCAAGGATTCATTACTGAAGCTATCAACGAGCTCACCGAAAAAACTTTTAGCCATTAGGCCTCAAACTTAAAATACGCATGCAACACATTGTCCTTGTCGGCTATGGGAGTTCATTATTAATTGTTACAACTGAATATTATGTTTTATTATGCGAGGTGGGAGTTTTATTAGTTAGTGAACGCTCTTCCCGTGCTTGACTTGGTGGCGTACTATTATGCTCATTATGACGTATTGTCGAGTCTGTTTTGTGATGTACGTTTTATTCAGTCTTGAATAGGAACTTTGTGGAAGTAGGATGTGTTTCATTTCTGTCTGATAGCAAGCTGCATGTGTTTATAGAGTTTAAAGCCTGTGTATATGATTAGATTATTACACTTATTGTGATAAAGGACTTGAGTTGATTCAGTGCTAGTACGATGTATTACAATGTGTGAAAGAACTTGATGAATTAACTAATCTGGGAGAAACAAGAGTTGACAGTCCTTTTAAATTTTTTATTGCTCAAGTTTTTGTTGGCATTCAGCTAACAAAATTTCAAAACCAATAGGATTTACTAATTTGTGATGGCAATGGACAAGACATTGAAAACAACAATACACTCAAAAATATAATTTGGATCAGTCATGAAAGAAGAGAGGTTACATTATAAATGTCCCATTTTTCTATGTCTATACAGTTATTTATCCATCAAGTTTGAGTATATTTTAACAAGTAAATAACACAAACATGCCTCTGTGCCAAATAATTTTTTTCCAAACAAAGTTTAATTTTTGTTTTAACTTTTAACTAATAAAGGCAGTCCAGCAATAAAAAAAGTAGGACCTTTTGTGAGTATCTAAAAACCAATCTGCTCAGATCCTATTTCATGAGAAATTTGAAAGCTGATTTGAGCAGATTGTAGGTTATGAATAAAGCCAATTTCTTCCAAGCGTGATTGGTAAAGTATGACAAATAGAAGAATACTTTAATGATAAAAGGAATTTTTAGTTCCAGTTCATTTTGTAAAACGGTTTTTTGGGTAAAGAAAGACAGTATTTACTAATAAAATAATGGGAGCGTTATACGCAGTCGACTGCGCATAACCCTGGGGGTTATTCCCAGCCGACTGCGTATAACTCTCAGGGTTGTACGCAGTCGGCTGGGAATTTAGCCAAATAAGGTTTATTACCGCTAGTTTGGCAATTAAAAAAAAAAGTATCATGCGTGCGTAATTAGCTGCATGCTGGAGTGGTTTTGAACTAGAACTGTTGTGTTTAATGTAAAATTTTAATTGAATTAATTTTAATTAATATTGAATGATAGTAATAGTATTAGTATTAGTGCTATTATTAGTATTATTGCTTGTATCTTATATATTATAATTATAAGTCTAAGTCAAAGTCTACATTTCTTAGAGTCTAAACCTAAGAAGATGATTTTATAAAAGGCATTTTCATGGTCTAGTTCTGTATTCTGATTGATTAGTTTGTTATATGTTGCTATGACCAAGTGGTTGGTTTTACTGACTAATTCAGGAAATACATTCTATTTATTTTTCAAAAAATTATATCTTTTATGATTTTTTTTTTTTTTTTGGTGACCTAAATGTAACAGTTTTCAGCTTCCATGCAAAACTATAACTGTGTGAAAGTATTACTTTAAGTGCCCCCTCTACAGAATCCCCTGCCCCTACAGCTATTTTTTACTGCTACTCTCTACCCCTGATTATATTTATTACTGTACCAGAGAAACATGATTTTATCTGCCACAAAATTAGTTAAAAACACAAAATATATGTTAACAACACAAAATATATGTTAACAACAAAAACATATATTTGAATTTGATCATTATAAGAATAACATTATTAACATTGCATTGGTCAAGTTAATAATTCTTATCATGTTTTAACATTTTTTAGCCAAAACAAAATAAAACAATAAGCCTAGCTGTTTTTGCTTCATTCTCGAGAAAAAACATAACACCTAATACGTATTCATGGCTGGCCTTTGGCTAGAATTGAACTCATGTCCACCAACTTGAGGTTTGCTCAGTTTATACCATTCAACCACCCAGTCACCCTAATAACAAAGGACCTTTATTGATCGATGCTGTAACACGGGAAGAATATAGACCTCACGTGATTTGCCAATTGCGTATAACTCTTGCGTATAACTCTCAGGGTTATACGCAGTCGGCTGCACATAACCACTTCGTAAAATAATTAGCCCTAGTACTAGCGCTTATTTCATTTTGTTATCTATTGATTGACAATGCTAACCTAAATTGAAATTCACCAGGCCTAAGCATAATTCGTAATGGATAGAGTGCAATGGACAGGTTTCAAAAACAGAATAAATGATTAATTATAAAAGTTATACTAATAAGTTATACAACAGTTATAGTTATACAGTTCTGTAGAATATAATTTATATCAAAATTATAACAAACATCTTCTTAAGTCTAAAGGCTTTAGTATTTTTTGAGCTATGAATATAAATGAATATTAAAAAAGTAAATAAAAATTTTAAAAATGTGAATGTTCAAGTTCATGTTCTTGTAGTATACCACTTGGGTGTTGGCTCCGCCGGTTGTTCCACTTTGAAGTGCTATTTAGTCACTTATGTTTTTTAATGACATTGTATATTGTACATATTCATTTCAGCCATGGCGCCCGCAGAAAACTTTCTAGGGGGGGGGGGGCAAAAATTTTTTAATAATGTTTTAATGTAGTTTTAATTTACTGTAGCCTGTAGCGTATTTGTATGGTGAACGAACGGACAGGACATCAGCTTAGTTACTTTCTCTTTATTTTCTCTTTACTTTAATAAATATTTTGTCTATTTTTGTCTAAAATTTTTGTATCCAATCAATCGGGGGGGGGGGCGCAGATGATTTCAGCACATATATCTTACAAATACTCCAAGGCAAATTTTTTTAGCCATATTCATATTGTCACATAGTGATTGTGCTAACCTGATTGCACTCGCTCCCCTATAAAGTTATACTTACATTATTACTAATACTACTCAATATTCAATTGTCAATAGTGACAGTAATAGTTAGCACTATTCACTATTAATAGTACCTAATTTAACTAATTAATTCTTCTTGGGTTTAAATCATAAAATCGGAATGAATTGAATACCTGGATTGATAATTTCCTCAATTGTGTCATCATTCGTAATTATTTTAATAGCGACGGAGTGTTCGAGTTTGTGCATATTTCACACAGTCAGTTGTCAGTACAGTTATTTCACTCAAGCAGAAGAGCTGAGACACGTAAACGGCTCTTCTTAAAATACTGCGAATGAAAATTTCGAAAAAAATTACGTATCGTTTCCTGTTCCGGTATTCTTTAATAACCGAAACATTCACAATGTTTCTTTTCTTTTTTTCTTTTTTTAAAGTTATTTTAAGACGATAAAATTTCTTTTGAAATTTATTTATGTGTAGCAGTTAATTGAAAACGTTCATCATCATCATCATCAGTTAATTAAAAAACGTTTGTTAAGTTTAATAATAATTCGACGACTTCTGAATTTATTAATTTTTTTTCAGAAACGGTGTTTTATTTCAATCCCTAATTTCGTTGAATTAAAACAAAATAAATAAAAAATAGTATTATATCATAAAAAAATATTAAATATAATTTTATTGCATTTGTGATATAATAGGCTAGGAACACTTTTTTTTTAAATTTCAGATCATTTAAATAATGTATATTTCAAGACTTCAGGTGTCACATCAGCATCGATGTTCATTATAATTTATGCAGTGGTGTTGATAGGGTTAGTGCCCCTGGGGGTAGATCACACCCGCTACACACCTTTCTTACGCCATGCATAATATATCTATATATATCATATCATGTGTCTCAAAACTACACTGGACAAAAAAACGCACTTTCAAATGATTTTGTGTGTGTTTTATCCACAGCCACAGCAAGCTGTATCATCCATCAGTTTGCAGTGTGCTTTACTTTTCAGAGTGCCTCCTTAGACATACGTAACAACTTCAAATGGTCGGAAGAGAGCGACCGAGGTAAACCAAACATTGGACTTCAACTCTTATTGTGTAGTGTGACGTCGATATGCGGCACTTTCATTGGCATGCTTTGCAGTTTTGAAAAAGAATACTCTCTGACTCCGAGGAGCGGTAGATTTGTAAGCGCCGTCAACAGCGTTTGTATGTTCTGCTTCAGGGCTTAGTTAGGACCCCCCAAAAAAAAATCAGATTCAAAAGATTTAAGATTAGTTTCAAATGAGCAACAAGAACAACAATAAAAAATTGTGAAAGCTTTATTTAATCTCTATTTATACAATTTATGCAATATTTAAACTATCTAGAACAGTGCTTCTCCACCTTCGTAAGGCCGCGACCCTTTACCATTAGTTCATCGTGTTGTGGGGACCACCAACCATAAAATAATTTATTTGTTTGCTACTTCATAAATATGTGTTTACAATGTTCTTAGTCGACCCTTGTGTACGCTTCGGGAATGACCGAACGCCTCTAGGTCAGAGACCCACACCACCGAGGTGACTCGGCAAGGTATCACACGGGATCTTGCCTCTACGCGACGTGGAAGTAGGGAGGTTCCTTCCTGAAGCTAAAAGATCGCAGCCAAATGTATGACTTCTTACGTGACGGAACGACCCTTACTCAATAACTCAATTTGGATATTGCGTCGGTGGGCAGAGGCGTAGCGAGGTTGTTTGGCACCCGGGGACAAGATAGCTTAAATGTAGCAACTAGTAATAGATTAGGTATCAACTCATAATAGCATTTAGGTAGCAATTATTACTAGTATGTGGTAGCATCTTAAAATAGCATTTAGGTAGCACCAAATAATAGTATTAAGTTTCAATTACAATAGCATGTAGGCATATTCTTTTAGAGTCCATAAAAATGATAATATGTGTCGGAAAAACAAATGTTTCCAATAACCCAATGTATTCATTAAAATAACAATTTCTAAAAATAAAATCACTTCTAACAAAATGCCCTTGAAACAAAATAATAGAAACAGCACCCCCCCCCCCACCAAAACCACCAATAAAGAAAACGTGTAGAATAATGCTGAACAGCATTAGGGATGAAACAGGAATGACCTATAACAAAACGCCCATGAAACAAAATAAAAGAAACAGCACCCCCCCCCCACCAAAACCACCAATAGAGAAAACGTGTAGAATAATGCTGAACAGCATTAGGGATGAAACAGGAATGACCTACCGGAGAAACTGACATCACAGGCAAGACTGTTCGCAGATGACACAGCGGTGTATAGGACGATCACCAACAGATCTGACCAGGACCAGCTACAACAGGATCTCAATTTGTTAGCTGAGTGGGAGATGAGCTGGGACATGGAATTTCATCCTGCCAAGTGCGAGACACTATCAGTCTCTAGAAGTTGTACTCCTCTACACTACCAATACGAACTGCACGGCCATATACTTGAGCCAGTTTTCTCCGTAAAGTACCTCATGGGTGTTACTATTCAAAGAGAGGTCCGCTGGGACGAGCATATTAACAATTTATGTAACCAAACCAACAAGACCCTGGGGTTCTTAAGGCGAAATCTAAATATTGGCAACTCCTGTGTGAAAGAAAGAGCATATAAAGCCTTTATCCGTCCGATTTTAGATTATGCATCTTCAGTCTGGGACCCATTTACCCAGAAGAGCATTGACAGGTTGGAGGCGGTCCTGCGACGAGCAGCACGCTTTGTCCTAAACCGTTACAGGAATACCTCTAGTGTTGGCAGCATGCTAGAAACACTAGGCTGGTCACTATTGGAAGAACGACGACGACAATCCAGGCTCTCCATGATGTACAAGATAAATAATGGGCTGGTCCACTGTTCCAGTATTAAACAGAAACTCGTACTTCTCCCCCATAGACAGCGACGAGGCCATGACAGGCAATTCAGGCTCATACCAGCAAGAAGCCAGTATAGGAGCTGCTCATTCCTGCCCAAGACAATCAGGGACTGGAACAATTTTTCAAAATGAAACGGTTGAAGCGACAACACTAGACACATTTGTGTCTATTGCCTCAAGCCTTCAAACGCCCAGTGCATGATTCCCTTACAAAGTGGCACTAGAAATCAGTTAAATTTTTCATCAACACCAGGAACAGAAACATTGCAAATCCCATCTTAATGCATAGGAGCCAAAATGATCAATAAATTGATCGTGGGCCCTTAGGTTTTAGAAGAAGAAGAAGAATTGGTTTACGTAACTGTTAGCAAACGGTTAATGACAATACTGCTGTGTGATCAATGACGCTCTATACATTTGTTCCCAACTACCCAAAGCAAATATCCTTAATAAATCCATAGAAGCTGTTGGGATACCGCGCTATATAAAACCACTTATAATTATAATAATAATGCTTTTTATGTATACCCATAGATTATATATATATTTTGATGTATCAAAATGGACAGCAGTGCGTCATATTCATGGGATAATAACTACTGGGAACTGGTCACCGAGAACACCGGTTGTACTGAGCCCGCATATTTAACCTCCGACCTTCTGGCCAAAGTTAATCCCAAGGCGAAGATTATGATGCTGATGAGAGAACCCGTGTCAAAGTTGGTTCCGGGGCTGGGGGGGGGGGGGGTTGCTTTAAACTTATTCTGCCCTTGCCCATCTGGTTATTTTCCATTTGGTTATTTGCCATTTGGTTATTTGCCATTTGGTTATTTGCCATTTGGTTATTTGCCATTTGGTTATTTGCCATTTGGTTATTTTCCATTTGGTTATTTGCCATTTGGTTATTTTCCATTTGGTTATTTTCCATTTGGTGATTTGCCATTTGGTTATTGGCCATTTGGTTATTTTCCATTTGGTTATTTGCCATTTGGTTATTGGCTTTTTTTCGTAAAATATCTTAAACTGCTAACACTTTTATAAGGTTTTGTTCACCACAGCAGCACTCGCTAAATATGTGTTCTTTTAACAGGGCATTCCCTGACTACTTGTTCTTTCAATGGGTAATTTCCAAGGAGCCAAGCTTGGAACAGTTTCATAACTGGACAGTCAACTTCATTACAAAGTTTGAAAGCTGTTAGACGCACAATTCTCTTTGGTACTGCACCTTCTTCTTCTTCTATATCTTAAGGGCCCACGATCAATTTATTGATCATTTTGGCTCCTATGCATGTAGATGGGATTTGCCATGTTTCTGTTACTGGTGGTGATGAGGAAATTATGCACTAGGGGTTTGAAGGCTTGTTGATGTGCGCTTTCGAGAAGGGGTATTCGTAAGTCTAGGGTTAATAATATACGTATGGCTTTACATAGGATGACCCAATCCCGAAGTGGAAAAAATGGGACACATCCAAGGAGGGTTTGGGGGGGGGGACCCCTTCCAGCTGAAGAGAGGTCCGGGGCCCTAAGCCGGACATTGTTTATTGAAATATGCTCATCTTAACTATTTTGAGGCTTTGAAATCTTTTTATATTTACCTTCACTTTTGTAATTGAACTAAACTCCGAGGCTTACCATAAATAAAACAATAATTTTGCAGTGAATACTTATTTATCATACAAATAAGATCTATGGCATGGACACAATCGTTTACGCAGCATCGGCAGAGTGGTGGAGGAGGAACATTGCAGCCGTCACGCGAGCCCACATTGTTTCACGCCTGGCCAGAGACATTTGTATTGCATTTTGTGATTGTAACCAGAGCTTCAGCGACAACTGGGCTTTTGGCTTGCATTATTTCTTAGCTACCCGCTGTTAAATAAGGCTGAACCGGTCCCACAGCTATGAAATTGCGTTGTAAATATAATTAAAATAGAAAGAATATTGTCTTAAAGTTTGATGTTGATTTAAAGCCGGGGTCTTCATCTGCCGCAGGACAGAGCTCGCCTTGAGCTTGGACTCTATCACGTGCACATCACGGCGTGGTTCAAGAGATTTCCGAGAGACCAGTTCTTTTGGCTTCACTACGAGACCTACAGTTCTGATCCTGCCTCGACCCTCAGGAGAGTGCACGATTTCCTGGGTGTGGGCAGGTTGCTCGAGCCATTTTCTCTTATCGATCTGTATAGAGATGTATTGGGGTCAAGGTAACATTGCTGAGTAGTGGGTAAGTTGCTTGTGTATCTGCCTACTATCGTTCTGTATAAAGATGTTGCGTTGTCAAGATATTATTTTTTTAAGTGTGGTTAAGTGGTTTTTTAACTCCGTTTCCTCCATTAGAATTTACTACACAAGTTCCGAGGGCAGAGATTACGGTACTGTTGTCTATTTTATAATTTGAAATGAATGTCCTGAAAGAATGTCGTTTTTGTATGGTCTCATCACCCCAGCTCAGCTGAGACAAGAAGCCATGGACGCTATCACAAACACCACCAGGATCAACCAGACGAGTAGGAAGAAAGATCTTGGATACATGTGGCCGGAAACAAAGACTTTACTGACCAAATTCTACACTGAACATATTCAAAAACTTTCCCATTTCCTCGGTGATGACAGTTTTACATTGCGAGACATCTTAGACCATAACAAATCTCATTGATTTTATGCTTTTGATTTGGAAAAATATACAAATCATAAAAGCATTTAACTTTGTATTTCATATTTACATCTAAGCATAATATGTAGAGCTATAGTCTGTGTGGTAACTAGCGTTGTTGTTGTTTTCGGTTATGCATTACTATAAAATGGAGTTCAAACAGTCACATAAGGACATACTGTGGTAAATTTAACAATGATTTATACAGAGTCAGAGAAGTCTCCAATGATTCCCTATTCTGTGGTAGCCAGTAGGGCATTACGCAAGACAAAGTTAGAGGCAAGATAGCAACAGAACAGAGACATGGCGGAGGCAAGATAGAGACAATATAAAGACATGCCGAAGACACTATAGAAACAGAATAATTGCATGGCAGAGATAGTATAGAAGCAATACAGAGACATGGTGGAGGCAGGATATAGCAGTATAGACACATTAGCGTGACCGGATAGAAGCATGTTAGAGGCAGGATAGAGATATTGCAGAGACAGAATAGAGTAAAGATAAATATGGTATTAAGCCATAACATAGACATAATTTAGACATGTTAAAAGCAGGCTAGAGAATTATAAAGAAGTTGTAGAGAAAGGTCAGGGGCAGGCTAGACACATAATAGAGACGGGATTAAGACAGGGTAGGGACATAACGGAGGCACTAAAGAGGAAATGAAGTTAACAAAAGAGTAAATTAAAAAAAATTAAAGCTCAAAATAAAGCAGTGCATTTAAAGAGTTGTATTAAAACATCCAACATACAACATGTTGGGTTTATTTCAAATGAAACCTGTGCATTTTCGTACTGGATATGAGATAACGTGTATAGTCAATCGGACATACTCGGTGTTATGTAGACGACATATTTACGTCAAATTTCCTCGTGCTGTGAACTCTAGCAGAGAACAAACAAGCTCAAAACCGCAGTTAAGGTGTCTTAGCTAAACCATAGTCTTTTCACCTCAAATAATTAATAGTCTTTATCTATAAGATTTTTTTAGAACAATCTGGAGAAAACTGGAAAGAAAAACAATGTGCAAGGCGGTTCCAGAAGCATCAGTAGAATAGACTATAAAAATATGACACGACATTTTTGAGAGAGCATTTTTATCACGAGATATTTTACGTTACGGGACGACAGGCTAGAGTTATTTTTAGAGTGTATTATTCTTTATAGAGTTTTGATTACTTATATGTGTGAATTCCTATTCATCGTTTTATTTTTGCACATTGTGTTATTATCAACCGTGTACCGATACAAGAAAAACATATCTCTGTAAGTTAATGATTTTAATTTATATTTCTTTTATTTTGTAATTTATTAGTAACTTAATAAAACGTATTAATTGTAATTAGCCCTGCGTTGAGTGTCCTATTTCTTTTGCTATTGTATTTCTCATATGGTGTCGTCTTTTGTTATGCACTGTTAAGAACGAGCCATAAAATAAAATTAGAAATTAATTTCTCCTTATGGACAGCAGTAAATAACACTCGGTAACATAATAGCCAAAATGAACAAAGAGATCGATCAAACGCCATAGCTCCCCGCCTCCCATGTTATGGTGAATGCATGTCACGTTATGGTGAATGCATGTCACGTTATGGTAAATGCATGTCACGTTATGGTGAATGCATGTCACGTTATGGTGAATGCATTTCACCTTATGGTGCTTGCATGTCACGTTATGGTGAATGCATGTCACGTTATGGTGCTTGCATGTCACGTTATGGTGAATGCATGTCACGTTATGGTGCTTGCATGTCACGTTATGGTGAATGCATGTCACCATCAAGAAACAGTTAAAACTTTGAGAACAACCGTGATTCATGTTAAACCGGTAGAGTGCACGATGAAAGGTTGATGACAAACCCTCGAAAAAATGTCAACCATTGAAAAGAATTTCAAAGACATATCTATTAACATATTTAAAAATTTAGAGACATACAAATCACCTGACATAAAATAATTAAAAATCAGTACAAAATATTTAATCAAATTAACTTGATATATTCTATTTAAATTTTAAAAATTAAAAAAAAAATTGTTTTTGTTAAAAAAACAAGGAGGGGGTTGGGCTAAATTGATTTTTATTAAGGTGTACCCTTCCACCATATGATCTTTGGAGTTTAGCTTCATTACTCCCAACACACAGGGTACTAGACTTTTAAGAACTTTTCATTAATTTGTTTCACATATTAATATCTTCAATATTGACATGTGTAAAAGTCACAATTTGCCCATGGGCTGAGGGATTTCAATCTTTACTAAAAGTTATGATGACGACGTTAGAGCCCTAATTAACTGTGTTTAGATGCTCTGCTAGCCGGGACAAATACGCAGAAGAGACAGGCCGGGGTCAATAATTCCACCCCCCCCCCCACACACACACTTTTTCCACAAATCTGATATCTTCTACTAGTGGCAGGACAAAATTCTTTCTTTTATTTTGACCATAAGACAAAAACTCTGCTCCCCTCCCCCCCCCCCCAAACAAAAACCGTGAGAAGTTTGCCCTATTTTAATGTTTTTTGCCTTATTTCAATGTTAGCAACTGGCCAATCGATGATATCTCAAACGTAAGAAAGCTTGGCAATTTTCGACTACACACACTTTTTCCACAAATCTGATATTTTCTACTAGTGGCAGGACAAAATTCTTTCTTTTATTTTGACCATAAGACAAAAACTCTGCTCCCCCCCCCCCCCCCCCAAACAAAAACCGTGAGAAGTTTGCCCTATTTTAATGTTTTTTGCCTTATTTCAATGTTAGCAACTGGCCAATCGATGATATCTCAAACGTAAGAAAGCTTGGCAATTTTCGACCATATCATCTTCTCAACGTGACCATTCAGAGAAGTAAAGTCACATTCGGTAATGTGTGTGTGAGTTTGGGAGGGGGTAAGGATGGCAAAGGAGGATATTTCCGCTTAATGAAAGACACATTCATCGCCAACCTACCTCTCTCCTGCAAATCACAAATAATGAAAACTCTAACATTGCATGACTCCCATTGTTTTTACCTGTCTCATATGAGTAATATCAGAGATTCAGCTTCAGAGGCGTTTTCAGAGCGTTCGGAACAAAGTTCATGTTGATAGAAACCGCATTAAAAAAAATACTAAGATGTTACATCATCAAGTTTTTAGAGATTAAGAAAAGATTATCCTGCATACAGTTTTAAGTTGGTAATCAATACTCTTGCACTACACGGCACCCCCATTATGGTTTTTGTACCCGCCGCTGGATGCAATGCTCACCCGCCGCCCACGTGCGTACAGACAACCCCAGGTAGCTGACTCACCGCCCCAGAATGGAAGCAGAGATGACATCACACCTATTCATAGACATGAAGTGATGAGCCATTTGAGAGTATATATATATAGCAGGGAACTCCACAGTTTGGTATCAGTACACTGACAAAGTGCTCACGATTTCTTGATTCTAAAATCAAGGCAGAATCAATTGCTAACTTCTGTAAAGAACATTTTCTTTACATTTTTCATCTATTGTTAAAGACTCCACATCATTACATTAAGTTGAAAGAAATTTGTATCTTACTTAAAGCAATTACAAGTTGTTAGCTCTCATCACGTTCCTGCGAAAGTTTTGGTCGTAAATCTAATTTTCTAGTTGTGTTGATATCAGAATAACGAACACTTAAGATGCCGATGTGCTGTGCCGCCGCTGGACTGCCTTCAACCTGCTCCTGTGGACGGATTGTGATTGACCCTGACTGCGAGTGAGTCAACTCATTGTATTTGTTAAATCCTGTTAATTCTATCAGATTGTTGACTGGACTTGACTGACATTGACAATGATTTATTTAATAACGTGTATTTCAGTTGCTATATTTATCTCGTACATTTTTGTGGGGTTGTATTTTTTAAAGGGTTCTCATTCTTTTCTCATTTGGCTTTAGAAAAATACCTATGGGATATTGTTGTTATGGAATTTGGCTGTATGGGTAATATAGGTAATATTTAGTGGCAAACTCTCGACACCACGTGTTTGCCTTGAGACTTACGGAAAGCGCACTTTCGCATTTGCTGGTCCAACAATTTGGAACGCCCTTCCTGTCGATCTTAGAAACAACCAGACACTGGAGTCCTTTAAAACAGATCTAAAGACACATCTATTTCGCAAATACCTTCTGGGATGATTGTCTACCTTATTTTCCATGTGTTGCTGTGTTGCTCCGGGTTGAAATGGCTAGAAAGACTTTGATATTGTATGCTTGTAATTAGTTTTTGTAGTGTTGTGTTTGTTTTAAATGTGGTGAATTATAGATATGTTTTTTGTTGACTTTGTACCGCGCTTCGAGCCTCTGGGGATGAAGCGTGTTTTTTAAATGAACTTTATTATTATTATTATTATTAATATTTAGTTTATTTGAGATTTAAATATTTAAAATGGTGCAAGTTTACTAAAGTGTATTTTTATATTTTTGCCATCCATGAAGATTATGACATAAACATGTTTGACATATCTTGCTTGCCAACTTCAAATCTGAGATAATCTCATCAGGCATGACTCTAGAAGAAAAGAAACGAAGTTAGTGCCGCAGTTAATGTTGGAGCCACCCAAGGTGGACAAAGTTCATTACCAACCCCCTTTTAAGAAAATAAATCTGAAGTTGGCAAAAAATGCTACCCATGAACATGAAGAAAATAATGCCGCCCGTTACGTACCTGCCTCCCCATCCCCCTTTTTTTTCTACCAAAGCTTCCCATGTCAATGAGCGGGTAATATTTTTAGTTTATTATCGAGTTTTAAAACGTATGATAATCCATTATAAGTCTGTTTTTTGTTTGTCCCCCCAGTGATGAAGTTGTTGCCATGCTTAGCAAATATCAGACCGGCGTTGCGAGGCGACTGAAGAAACCGGAAGCTTTGGCCATGCTTATGAATGAGTTCGCCCTGAACGAAATCGAGGCTCAAATGTTCTTCCAAATCTTCGACAAGGACCAAAACGAAGTGTTGAGCCTCTGGGAGTTCCGGCAGTTCAACCAGACAGTCGGTACAAAGTAAGTACTGAAATGTCTACCATAAGGGTAGGAAATTAAATTTGTTAAAATATGTTCACTGTAGGATTTATAATTCATTGAGCGTGTCAACTACCAACAACTTACAAGTTATAACTGTACCTTAAAACGTTTTGAAAAGTCCTCAATTGTTTTGTGTTTGGTCTTCTCAATGCCGTATTAGAAAATAAGCTCATGGTGCAACGTCTTGCATGCTTTCCATTGCTTGCCACCCCTTGGATAATTTGATAGTTATATGGGAGTTTCGGCAATTCTTTTAGAAGTTTGAAATGAAAAGAGAACTTTATTGTCTACTATACCTATTGATATTTATGCGTGTCTTTGAAGGTGGTTCATTAGATGGTAAGAACTTATGATGTTTTCCTTAAGATCTAAATTATTAATGAAACAAAGTTCTTTCAGCACTTTGCCTTTTCTTTGTCTAAGGTGGACACTGAAGGGCCTCAGAAATGTTCGTTAACTTTGTTTGAAACTTTGAAGTTAGAATTAACTGGACTGTGATTAAAAAATTTGGCTTAAGTGTTACCGTCTTGCTGACCACAAGCAACTGGATGTCTGCAGTAAAGAAGAGAGGTTTTTTAAAACGCATTTACATAACCCAGATTTGACTCTCTCCAAAGAATTTAACCATTTATTTTGACATTCCTTCCATTTCCCCCATCCAATCCAACAGCCTTACTTGTTACCCTAAGGGCCCATGAAATGCCTTCCATCTCCCCATTAAGTCTAACCATCTTACTTGTTACACTCAGGGCTCATGAAATGCCTTCCATCTCCCCATTAATTCTACCACCTTACTTGTTACCCTCAGGGCCCATGAAATGCCTTCCATCTCTCCATTAACTCTACCACCTTACTTGTTACCCTCAGGGCCCATGAAATGCCTTCCATCTCCCCATTAACTCTACCACCTTACTTGTTACCCTCAGGGCTCATGAAATGCCTTCCATCTCCCCATTAACTCTACCGCCTTACTTGTTACCCTCAGGGCTCATGAAATGCCTTCCATCTCCCCATTAACTCTACCACCTTACTTGTTACCCTCAGGGCCCATGAAATGCCTTCCATCTCCCCATTAACTCTACCACCTTACTTGTTACCCTCAGGGCCCATGAAATGCCTTCCATCTCCCCATTAACTCTACCACCTTACTTGTTACCCTCAGGGCCCATGAAATGCCTTCCATCTCCCCATTAACTCTACCACCTTACTTGTTACCCTCAGGGCCCATGAAATGCCTTCCATCTCCCCATTAACTCTACCACCTTACTTGCTACCCTCAGGGCCCATGAAATGATTCAACTTTTTCACAAACTGAAGGAGCCTGCCACCGGGTATGTGGACATTGGGAAAACCTTCGACGCACTGACACACGTGGACAGTGGGAAGGGCAAGCTGACCGAGGACGAGATAGTCACGTTTCTTCAGACGACAGCAGGGGACTCAAAGACCATCGACCTGCATACATTTCTAAACATGATGAGCAGAATCAAGATTTACACGGGCGGACTTTAAGAATAGCGAAACAACAAAATTAATTAACATACGGGTAAACATACAATTTACGGTAGAATGGTTTGAAAACATAGTCGCAATTTTTACGACATTTCCTCATCCCATCGGTAGTGAGATATGATCGAGTGAATGGAAATTTTGAATGGAGGCTTTTATATTTTTAAGTAAATATAATTTCGTGGAGAAAAAGGAAAAAACAAATAATTATGACGTGAATGTAAGACATAATTAGAATTGAAAAGTACACAATTGTACTTCCATTTTTGATAGCTAAATAAATATCTATGAAATTGTGTACATTAAATTAATTAAACTCCAAACCCGTGAATATTTCCACGTACTCCAAAGCGACATTCCATGATCATGCTTTTCGAAGATCTCAGGCCGATTTCTAGTCGTTTTCCTTTAATTTTACCATCTCTGCTGTTCTTTTCAATTCAATGTTTTGTGCAATGGTAATTTGTGTAGATATGTGATTTGAGATTTGAAATAATTGTCAAAATTGTTCGTTCCACTCGTGCAGCTTTAGAAACAATTTAGAAAGTTTAATGAATTTTTATATCTGTATGACTCTTCTTGTTTTTGTTAAAAATTAAATTTGATATCTATACGTCATCATAATTTTGTAATTCTGGAAAAATAATTGTTCAAAATTGATTGTGATTTTTATATGTATATGTATATATTTTTAAACCAATTTTTATAAAAATAAAGTAATCGAATTACCAGAAACATTTCTTACTAACTCTTATTTTTCTTTAATGTCAGATTTTTTAATGCATTGTTTACTTCCATCTCTCTTCAATAAACTAGAGCTAAGGGGCTCGATGACCCCATTGAACAATTTCAAGACGAGCATATTACCAGGGGTACAGTTATAATATTGTATCTTGCTTACCCTCAAAGTATTTCTCTCATCAGGTAAAACTCCATTACCTTTTAGGCTCTCTTAGCACTTGGTACTTAACCAAATTCACAATTGAATGGATTTACAGACAACTAACAACATTGGTCACGTTACTGGTCGTACAGCCAAACTAAAAATTTTGGTCGCATTACTGGCCGTACAGCCCAACTAACAACATTGGTCGCGTTACTGGCCGTACAGCCCAACTAACAATTTTGGTCGCATTTCTGGCCGTACAGCCCAACTAACAACATTGGTCGCGTTACTGGCCGTACAGCCCAACTGACAATTTTGGTCGCATTACTGGCCGTACAGCCCAACTAACAACATTGGTCACGTTACTGGCCGTACAGCCCAACTAACAACATTGGTCGCGTTACTGTCCGGCTGAAGTGTTGCCCAAACGAAAAAATAAAAATCTCCTTTGCAACAGCCATAAAACATTTAATGTGAACGTTTACATTTAGAGAGTTGAATGGCTCCAATTAATCTGATCCATGCAGTGAGATAATTATAATTTGTCATTGCGCTAACAAGTGAAAACATGTGGCAAAATCCCCAAAAGTGGAAGACGGTGATTCGCGGTTCATTTGGGGCCATTAAAATTCATTTAGATTTAATCATAAGACCATAGGATTTCAAAAAGTTATTTTAATATATATTTTTTTTTTGTTGGAAGCACTTGAAAAATAACAATGAGAACTAGAAGGTGTAGTAGATGAGAGTTTTGACCCTATCGGAATCAGGATTTGACCCTATCGGACCCAGGGTTTAGACCCTCTCCCTAACCAGAGTTTTGAACCTGAAAACTAGGAAAATGAACAAAATCAATTTAAAAAATGGTCAAAAATAATTTTAAGATAAAAAAATAATGAGTCTTTAGGCATGGGTACACTTATGGAACTGAGCCTACATTGAGTCTTATGGCATGGGTACACTTATGGAACTGAGCCCGCATTAAGTCATAAGGTATGGGTACACTTATGGAACTGAGCCCGCATTAAGTCTTTAGGCATGGGTACACTTATGGAACTGAGCCCGCATTAAGTCTTTAGGCATGGGTAAACTTATGGAACTGAGCCCGCATTAAGTCTTTAGGCATGGGTACACTTATGGAACTGAGGCTACATTGAGTCTTTAGGCATGGGTACACTTATGGAACTGAGCCCGCATTAAGTCTTTAGGCATGGGTACACTTATGGAACTGAGCCCGCATTAAGTCTTTAGGCATGGGTACACTTATGGAACTGAGCCCGCAGTCCGCAATGCGTCAACGAACCTGTACTGTTATTTTTGACATCAGTATAAGGTATTGTGTGACTTGTAAAGGAAAATCTGAAACCACTTTTTCAACCACTCTAAAAACATTGGATTTAAAGTTATTTTCATCCATATAAATATTTATGCATCCTACCCCCCCCCCTCTTCACCCGTGAACTGTATTTACATAAGAAGGTTAAAATATTTATCAAATGCACCCACCCATTCTGAGGCGTATCATTGTGCTGCCTGGGGAATGGCTTAAAAAATTACACTCTCTCTCCCCCACCCACCCACCTCCCACGCATATTTTAATAAGTTTTTAATAAACATGAGCAAAATCATCCCCGAGAATGGTAGCTCCCTTACATACACCGCCGCACAATTTTTTTCACTCCCCTGAACTATAATTAATATTCTTATTTCCTACCGCAATTTTACATCACAATGCATACATTATCTATAAAAAAAAAATTCAATGTTAAATTCCGTATATTTAAAGTTTATGGTTACTTAATTTAAACATTAAAACCCATATCAAAGTATTCATAGTTTTTTTAAGAAACCCGTTTAGTGAAGGCAGTTCACCCAGCACTTATGTGCAATTATGTGGACTTCTTATATCGTGTGCATTGCTAAATGGTCGCATTGACCTATGCTTATTTATATGAAAATAATTTAAAATAAATCAAGTGTTATTTGGCGCATGGTAAAATTTTAATTACTTTTCTTTTCACCGCTGGTCTTGGTCGAGGGGTAACACGCCGAACTCTGGGAATTCCACTCCACACAACTGCGTCAACTGTCTTGAGTGCCGACTAGCATCTTTTTGGTTTATTTTAGTACTAAGTAATAAAAAAAAATAACAACATTATTATAGTTTATTTACGTTCTTCAAAAATGGTTTAGGAGCAGGGTTTTTCTTTTCACGAACTCCACTCTGGATAATTTATGTTCAGCTCCAGCTGAGGTCCGACCAAATTAAAAGGAGTTGAAGGGATGTTGAGTGTGTAAAGAAATATTTACTGTCATTTAAACTGGACCCCGGATCAGTGAGAAATTTTACCATCTAGACCTCCTGGCAAGGAAAATATTGCTCCAGAGCTTTAAATCTATAATTACAAATAACAATTAGAAATTAAATTTTCCAAAATAAACAACAAACCCCCCGATTCCCCCCCCCCCCGCCCCCTCTGGTGCTATCATAGCAATGGATTCCCCATAATGAAATTAAAATTAAAGTGTTTAACTTTTTCATTATTAAATTTCCTTATTTACTTTAGGTCAATTATGAAATTGTTTTTCTGTGGCGACCCCTTAGGTCTACTTTTGAAATATTTCCACAGAGAAACATAAAACTTAGTTGACTTAGTAGGCCTATTATTCTGTTAGAGTTATACTATAGACCTCTATTTTTCTTCTTTTGTATGTTGAAGCGTGTGAATTTTAATACAATACATATTTAAATCGACACCCTTCAATTGAGATATAATCGCAGAAAATAGCTCCCATTTCTGAAGAATACTGTTACATTGTACAAGTATAGTTATGTTCTACTCCATTTTCATAAATGAAAGTCAATGAAGAAAACAATAATCAATATAATTTTTTGGCTCATTTAATTTTCAATTTGAAGAATTGTTTGAAAAGTTTTGAGATACCAGTAGTTAGAAAGGAGAAATTGCAGTAGACTTCTTGTCTGTCTGATAACTGCCATTTTTGAGATACCAGTAGTTAGAAAGGAGAAATTGCAGTAGACTTCTTGTCTGTCTGATAACTGCCAGTGGAGCATAGGACATTAACTATTACTTTCCAAGGCTTCTAGTCTCTAGATATCTTTTCCAGCTCTATCAAATCTTTATAGCTGGGTACATTTTTGTCAACATTCCTTTACCATGGAAATCATTTCTGAATTATGCATTAAAATTTATAGTACACTCATTTGTAGTACTCTGCAATAGGTTAAAAAATGTATATTGAGTACAATTATCTATAGTTTTATCATTTATATACCTGTACTCTAACTTAAAATCTGTTCCAAACTATGACAGATAATATATAAGGGATGTGGTAATCTCTTTTTAAAAATAATTTAAAACATACAATCACAATACAAAGTCCAATCACAGATTTCACAAGAACTCACAAATAAAATTTATAATATTTTATTAAAAATGAGCAGTGCTGAATGAAGTTATCAAGAAGCACTACCATTAATAGTAGTATTTATTAGTCATTCAGTAATTTTCAAATAGGAAGGATGTCTCAATCATTGTTGACTATAAAGATTCTGTCATTTTATTTCCTTTCAAGTTATGGGATTGTGAATGCGTGTCATTGTTGAGTTTAATAATTTCTGAAAGTACGGCAAGATCGTCTTAGCCTAAGGTTAGAGCAAGAAGAAAAAATGGGATAAAAAGACTATTTACATTTTAATATAAGGTATGTTTAAAACAGATTATTTGGTATAAAAGGCACAATCTCGCATTGAGGTTAATACTTATTTGCCTTCAGATTTACAATAGTAATGAACTGACGATAGATACTGATAACGGTTTTTCACAAACAGGTTTACACAAAAATTAAATCAGAAACACTTTTTAGATTGAAAATACAAAATATAATTTAAGAAAATATAACGAAAGTCTAAAACATTAATTAGTTGTTTAATTCCAATTCATTTATACGTCATGTTAAATAATGTATACTAGAAACAAATGCTTAATAGAATTTCAGTAACTATTATGTAAATATGTTGTATGAGCACATGATTTAAAAAATTTGTTCATTCAACACTTAGTTACATTTGCGTGCAAATATTGTATTCTGTTTAAAATAAAATAAAAAATATAGAAAGTAAAAAATAAGCTAAGCTAAAAAAAAAATAATTGAAAAAAATTGATAACTATATTAAATTTATAGCTGCAATCCACTTTAATTCGATCCCTATTGTTTGGGATATAATGATAACGAAAACTAAGAATGCCGTAGATGGTATTATTGTAACTCAATTACGTAAAGTTGTTGCATCGAATGCTATTAAACGAGATACTGTCACACAACGTAATGGAAATAA